TGCAACAATGAATGAATGGAAACCCAAAATCTCTGTAAATGTTTACGAAAATTAATAAAATATAGAAAAAAATTAAAAAAAAAAGGAAAGATGTTTTGCAATGGGAAAGTCTGTGGTTAGAGACCTCTCTAAAGTACTGAAGTGCAGCGATGTTAGACTGGAGACTAAGGTACATCTGATACATGTTGTAGTCTTTGCAATCACTTGTCATGCATCAGAGAGCTGGAAAATTACTAGGGATGGTAGAAGGAGAATTGATGCCTCTCAGCTGTGCTGCTGGAGAAGAATATTGAATATACCATGGACTGCTAAGAAAATGAACAAGTTTGTCCTGGAGAGGGTGAAGCCAGGCTGCTCCTTAGAAGCAAGGATAGTGATGCTTCGTCTGGCATATTTTGGACATGTTGCAAGGACGGACCAGTCCTTGGAGAGGGACGTCAAGCTTGAGAGGGTGAGAGGGACAACGCTGGAGAGGAAGACCCTTGATGAGATGGATTGGTTCAGTGACTGGGGTAATGGGGGTAGGTGTGTCAGAGATAATGAGATTAGCACAGGATAGGGCAGAGTTTAGGGCTGTTGTACATATGGCCACTATGAATCGCAAGCGACTCGATAGCACATAACAACAACAACAATATATATATTTATATATGGAGGAAGTCTCATCAACAACCTGCATTATACAGGTTATACAACCTTGTTTGCTGAAACTGAGGAAGACCTGAAGTGTTTGCTGCAGAAGATCAAAGACTGTAGCCTTAAATATGAATTGAAGCTCAATATCAAGAAAACAAATATTCTCACCATAGTGCTCAGTCAATTGGCAGCATCACAAAAAGTGGTGAAGACATAGAGGTTGTTAACAGCTTCAGTTTGCTTGGCTCCATAATCAGCAGTCAGAGGATGAATTGCACTGGGAAAGTCTGCTACCAGGGACATCTTTAGAGTACTGAAGAACAACGATGTCGGTCTGAAGACTAAGGTGCACCTGATTCAGGGCCTCATCTTAACGATTAATTATTATGCATCAGAAATCTGGACAATGAGTAGGGATGATAGATGGAGAATTTATGCCTTTGATTTTTGGTGCTGAAGAAGGGTATTGAATATACCACGGACTGATGGGAGGACAAACAGGTTCATTCTAGAGAGGGTGAAATCAGGCTGCTCCTTGGAGGAAAGAATTCTGAAGCAACAAGCAAAGAATATAAAATTAAAAATTATTTTTATGTATAAAAATATATGATTAGGTATAACAGGAGCCCAAAATGAAGGCTGCACAGTGGAGTGGACTTGGGGAGAGGGATTGTATAACAATGAAATAATTTTTCTTTTACTTTTCAAAGAGAAGAGCTAATTTGGGGGGAGGGGTGGGCAGGGAGAAAAGTGTAACAATGAATGAATGGAAATCCTAAGTCTCTGTAAATTTTCATTAAAATTAATTAAAAAACTACTGCATTATGCATGTTGAATTGCTTGTTTATCCTGTACATACATAGTTATATTTACTAAAAAAAATTGGGTTGTTATGTGTTATTGACTACAACTCATAGCCCCCCTATTTACAACATCTCTGAACCCGGCTCTATGTGGAGCCAATTTGTTCATCTTTGAAACACCTAGCCCTATTACTCCAGTCACTGACTCAGTCCATCTCAACTAGGGTGTTCCTCTCTTGTGCTCTCTACTCTTCCAAGCATGATGTCCTTCTCCAAGAACTGGTCCCTTCGTGCAACATGCCTAAAGTATGTCAAATGGAGCATCCTAATCCTTACTTTCAAGGAGCATCCTGGCTTCACATTCTCCATAACAGACCTTTTTGTTTTCCCAGTAGTCCATAGTGTATTCAGTACACTTCTCCATCACCACAATTCAAAGGTATCAATTCTTCTCTCATCCTTTGTTATTGTCCAGCTCTCTGATACATAGTAAGTAACTATAAAGACCATGGCCTGGATCAAGCACACTTTAGTCTCTAGACTGACATCTTTGCTCTTTTGTGCTCTGGAGAGGTCCCTGACAGCAGATTTTGCCCAATGAAATTTGTCTTTTGATATCCTGGCTGCTGGTACCAAGAGTGTTAATTGTGGAGCTTACAAAATCCATATACATTGTGTATCACACTATCCTTCATTCACAATGTGTTTTATACAATCATCCCCATTCATTGTATTTTATAAAATTAATCAATGTTGTAGTATGTCCACCATTGACTTCTCAAATTATAGCCAAGACATTTGTAACTATCATCACAGCTTCCTAATGATTCCATTACTATTAACATCACCTAAGTCATGACTTTTCTTTTCTTCCTGTCTGTCATACCTAGTAAAAAGTAATTATTTCAGTTTCATTTGTCCTTATTCTTTTTGTTGTTAGGTGCAAAAAACTCACCTCTGCCTTACAACAATCCTATGAACAAGAACACATCAAGATCTCTGTCTTACGGAAGCTTATTGTGATGGTCATAGCACCATTTCTTCTCATTGAGGGTCTTTCTTTTGATGACTGTCTAACCTTTGCAGCATGATTTTTCTCTACGGAATACTCCCTCCTGAAAATATGCACATAGTGAGACAAATTTTCCCCATCTTTATCACCAAGGAGCAGACTGATTGCACTTCAAGACAGTTCCTATACAATTTGTCAGTGTTAGATATTTCATGTAAGTGTGATCAAATATATTTGTCATGGCTGACTTCCTTCAATCAGTATAATGACATTTTAATAGCAATAGTTCAGAGATACAATGTGAAAATTCTTTCCCAAATGCCAGTTTAATATCGCATTGCTTTCTGAGCAAGAAGAAATTATGCATATGAAAAAAATTGTGTGTGGAAATTAACTGAAGATAGAAGACATGCTTATAAAAATATGTAACGTTCTGTGTTCTGTCATGAATTCAGTGTGCTTTCCAGAGAAATAAATTAATTAGTACAGAGGAACAATAATAACCATTTAATGGAGAATCTGTGTTCAGCCAAGACATCTGACGCCCTATTCCTCACAAGTACTTGCTACACATAATCAGGTTTGCCTTTCTGGGACTGACACTCTTCTTTCTCAGAAACAAAAGCATTTCCTTTTCTCCCTTTGTAAAATAGTCAAGTTCTTTTTTATTTTAATTCTTTTTGCATGCTAATTTATTATTCTCAATTATATTATCCTGATACCCATATGAAATGTTTCTTATTATATATTTATTGATTAGGGGAGCTCGGGGTGGCCTAGTGGCAATAAGACACTTTTAATCCCATCCTGAGAGCATGCGCTGTTTGAGGCCACCAGCTGTTCCGTGGGAGAAGGATGGGCAATCTACTCCCATATGATTAACTACCTCTGAAAACCTGCCAGAGGGGTCAGCTATGGGTCAGTTCTGACTATGGTACACAGCAAGAATAATATTTATTCATTAGTGTAATTGCTATTTCTCTTTCCCATAGGGCTATAATATTTTAGATACATGGATGCTGGCTGCCTTGTTCACAGGATATTTCCAGATGATACCAGTGTCTTACACGTGGCAAGAACAGAATAATTACGAAATTGCTGTTAAATACAGGTTTTCCACCACAATATTTCAAATAGTTGCACTTCTCCTTTACTTCCAGAATCCAATTTTCACAATTTGTGACTAAATGTCTTTCCAGGTAATAACAATTTTTCTGCATGTGCCTTTAATGATGTTAATTTCATCTACATTATTAGATAAAATTTGGATATTAAAAAATTATATTCTGTATCAATCTAATGCTTGATACTCCTATTTATTTAATAATTCTGTGTCATATTTTTGCCTGTCAATGAGGCAAACTTCTCTACTAATATAAGCACAAATTTCACTTTTATTATTTTCAGTAGTTTCTAATTTTTATAGTATTTACTGGTTGAGGTATTTCTTATGCCTCATTGAAGATTGTGGCTAACAATAACGAATATGTCTAGCATAAGAATCAAATAACAATTATCAAACTTTCTGTCTTGATTGATTTCTTAGTGTTTGGTGCTTGAGCTGAAAACCAGCAGTCACAGTATATTACGTTGTTAAGTTTCCTCCTATAAAAATTTACATCCTCAGAAAACTAGTGAAGTGTTTCTATGAGTCCAAATCTACTAACTAGCAGTGGATTTATCACATTTTTATGACACCATACAGACATACTGGTTTAATACTTCTGTGTTAAGGAGAAAGATAGTTCACACTCATTAGTCACTTTGTGGAAGAAAAGATCTGACAGTTTGTTCCAATAATGATTTTACCCTAGGAAATAATAGGGTCTGTAGTTATCATAATCAATATGAAGAAACCCAGAAATAGTATACTGTTACTCTTCTGAATGCTTTCGGATGGAAACTAGCATAAATAATTTGTAAATAATAGTATTGATTTGGAAGTTTTAAGTAGTTTACTCAAAGTTTAAAAGATATCTTTCCCATTTAAAATCTGGAATGTTTTCCATGCCTATGTGCTTCATGATTGCTATAAACTCTGTGTTGCTGGCTAATGAGAATGGAGAGATGTATTTTGAGGGATAATCTCTACTTAACCCGTCATTATTAACATCACAAAATAACACCTTATTGATTTGTTATATTATGCATGGAAAGAAAAGTTGTATATTTGCAATTTCATCACAATTATTTTAGAGTAGTTACTACATGCAGGGCTTAAAGGATAATCTTGGAGGAATATATAAATGCTGTACATTGAGGGAGTGTCCACTGAGGGTGTGATTATAGATTTTAATGATGATTTTTAAGAAATAGTATCTTCTAACTCTCCTTCTGTTGTAAACAATAAGACTTATCAAAGATTTTATTTATCTTATTTGTTTAATGTAAAGGAAAACAGCCACAAGTCTTTCATCAACTGATAAAAACTTCCTTGTCAATTGATAAGGTTTGACTTCTCTGAATAAACAACAAGTAAAACCTCCACACTCAGTTTACAAAATTCTACTCTCAATTATATTTTAATCCCATAGATTAACGCAACAGGAATGACCAACAGGAGTTTCCCAGTGGGCTTCATCCTTCTAGGCTTTTCTCATTTTCCTCAGCTGGAAGAAGTTCTCTTCTGGATTGTGTCAGTCTTCTACATCATGATCATCTTTGGTAACTTGACAATCATCCTGCTTTCTTGTTTAGAGCCTCGTCTCCACACACCCATGTATTTCTTTCTTAGCAATCTTTCCTTGTTAGAGCTCTGTTTTACCACTACCACACTGCCCCAAATGTTATCAAACTTGCGGAGTCATGAAAAAACAATCTCTTACACAGGTTGTGTCATCCAGCTCTTTGTGTTTTTCTGCCTTGGTGCCACAGAATGCATTTTGCTGGTGGTGATGGCCTTTGACCGCTATGTTGCTGTCTGCCAGCCACTGCGCTATACCATCATCATGAACCCTCCTCTCTGTTGGAAACTTGCTTTTGTCGCATGGCTTTCTGGCCTAACAGAAGCTCTGATCCAATCTCCCATCACACTTCAGCTGCCCTTCTGTTCCCACCACCAAGTGGATGACTTTCTCTGTGAGGTACCTGCCCTCATACGGCTGGCTTGCGGAGACACCTCCTCCAATGAGTTACAGATGACCGTTTCAGCTGTTCTCTTCACTATACTGCCTGTTGTTTTGATCTTAACTTCTTATGGCTACATAGCTAAAGCAGTGGGGAAAATCAAGTCAGAAGAGGGGAGACAGAAAGCCATCGCCACTTGCTCTTCCCATCTTGTGGTAGTGTTCATGTTTTATGGGACAGTGGCAATGGTTTACACAGACCCTAAAAACAGCTTTGCTTCCGCCCATGGAAAATATCTCACTTTATTCTATACTGTGGTCACACCTTTGTTGAACCCTCTCATCTACACCTTAAGGAACAAAGAGGTCACAGAAGCTTTACAAAGAGTGCTGAAGAAATACTTCAGGAAATGAAGAAAGTGGAAGATATTCAATCTTCTGGAACAGAAAGAAATTTAATAATTGTTGTTTCTACCTATACTGCTTTCATAGGCAAGTAGAGATTGCCCATAACACATTGTTTTAAAAAAGGTAGATTGGAAAAAAAAAAAGGTAAATTGAGTTCAAAGGAGATAATCTATGATACTCTTTTTCACCATGATTTTAAGTGTCTTCTTGTTAAAATATTTAAAAATTAATACCATTTTTGACATAAGTACTTATGATTATGTTTAGTGAAGGTGAAACATTAGTCACGTAACTAATTTTGAAAAATTTGAATTATCTGTTAAACAAAAAACTACTGATGTGAATAATTAAATTATCATATTTTATTGTTTGAGCTTTAAAATAAAAAAATTTATAGATGGATATTTTTCCTACAAGCATTGAGAGAAGGAAGCTGAACTGAAATTCCTCAACAATCTTCTCATATATACAAGCCTTTTCCTTTCATTTGACTATAGGAGTGAGAACTTAGGTACAAGGAAGCAATATTCTGTTGTGTATATGTGGTATGCACATGCATGGTGTATCTTCTTTAATTTGGAATTTTCCAGAAGATAAAGTGATGATCACAGTGAGCTAGTTAATTCTAAAATCTGTGAATCTGAAAGAATCATGAGCACTTTCTTGTTTGAGACAAAGATCTCTGTACTTCAAATGTAATTTAATCTGTGCTGTTGTTAAGTAACATCAAGTTGGTACCGATGCATAGCTGACTCTCTGTAGGGTTTTCAGAGGCAGTAAATCACATTGAAGGAGACTGCTTCTTTTTCTCCCACAGAGCAACTTGTGAGTCTGAACTACATGCCTTCTGGTTGCCATCATAGTTCCTAATGCTAGGCCATCAGATCTCTCTATTTTAATCTCTAGGTCATTATAAATATACATCAACTTAATAAAATCTATTTTTGTAACTGTGCAATAAAGTTTACCTTATGTTTAAATAAAATAAATATTGGAAAAGTTTAGTACCTGCTGGATTTTCAGAATATTTCATTTATTCTTTTATAATAGAATTAAACTTTGGCTAACTCAAAACTAAATTTTCAAATATGTTTCAGGTATTAAGTGTGCATTTAGCAATTTAACAAAACAATCCCAAAGCAAAAATCAAGTTGGAAATTTCATTTAAGTTTACTATGTTCTGTTGTTATGTGTTACTGAGTCAACTACTACTCATAGCAATCATATAAAGACATATAAATCATATAAAAACCCTGCTTTATTTTGTGCCATCCTCATTAGTTCTGATATATGTGAGACATTGTTGTAGATACTGTGTTAATTCATCCTGTTGACAGTCTTCCTTTCTTATATTGATCTCCACCTTTCCAAGCCTGATGTCTCTTTCCAAGGAATAGCACCTTCTAACAACATGACCAAAATATGTGGGACAAAGTATTAGCATCCTTGCCTCAAAGGAGCACTCATGTTGCACTTTGTCCAAGATGTATTTGATTTTTGGCATTCCATGAAATATTCAATACTCTAATCCATCATCACAACTCAAAATGTTAATTTTTCTTCTGCTGTCCTTATCCATTGCCCAACTTACAGATACATGGAAAATAAATTAAAAGATCAAGATCATAGCTCGGATCTCATTCTATAAACTGATATCTTGATCTTCAGCACTTTAGAGTGGTCCATGACAGTAGATTTTCTCAGTGCAGCACTTCTTTTGATTTCTTGATTGCTAGTATCAGCAATAAGGATATGTAATAAGGTACTGAAAGATAACTGCAGTGATGGCATATGCTAAATCCAGTGTGGTTTCATGTGTCTCTGGGGCTGCAATCTTTTACTTGTAGATATAGTGATGAAGCTGCTTCATCCTTAGCAAAACGTTATTTCCTCTTGTGTCCTTGTGAAAAAAAGACTGGATTGGATAGACAAATACTAATCATTAAAAGCTTACTCTTAGTATTACAATCAGCACTTTTCCCTTTGTGACATAAATTAAGTCAGATGACCTTTTCTAATTCCAACAGGACATAGTTTAGGCATCTTTTCACATGTATCTCCAAAAGTGAAGAAGCATGAATATAAGAGATAGCTACCAATTTTATTTATCTCGGGCATGAGAATGAAGGAAACTAAAGACTCGAAAATTTGTATATAAGACTGACAGCTCAAACGAACCATAGTCTTGTCTAACTCAAGACCAGGAATAGCAGAATGTGCTTTGCTACCACTACCAAAAGTTCTGACTAGGGGCACACTAGAGAGTCCTATAGAGAATGGAAGAAAAACATGTAATAGAACTCAAATTCCTAAAAACAGTGAATCAAATTTACCGGGCTTATAGAGAGTAAGAAACTTACGAGGTTGATTTCTTAAAATACACTTTGAACTTTGGGCTGAGGTCACCGTTTAGCCAAATAATAGATTGTTTTATAAAATACGTAATATCTCATATGACTAATGTGAGCCTTAAACAGTGAATTATATAAAACCAAATGATCAACATTTTCACAAAAGCAAGATTAAAAAACAAGGATAAGAAAGAAAATTAAAGTAATAAAAACTGAACAAATCAGAATAATAAGAATGCTGATATGTGAAAATTGTAACTAATGTCATGGAATAATTTACATAAAAATTGTTAAATTACTATGTTATTTTCACCTAAAATATAAGAAAATACTAGATGGTATTAAAAGCAAAATGGAAGTGCAACAGCTATTTGCAAATGGTACAATTCTTATCAAAGGGATAAAAAAAATAGTGACATAGTTAAAGATGTCTCTTGAACATAGAGAAGTATGTTTCCCTCATGAAGTTCAACACTTCATGAACTCTTGATTAAACAATGACAGATAAATGTTGTGCTCTTAATAACAAAAATAAAAAGAAACAGCAAATGGATTTCATGCAGTCCATGCACGCTTGCTGGTTGGCTCTCACTGGGACTTCTTGTGGAAAAAGGGTTCAAGCAGGCCTCTGGATCTTGTTCTTTCTCTGGTTGGCTCTGACCTGGCTGTTGTTGTTGTTGCTGATTGTCATCAAGTCGAGCACAACTCATAGTGACCCTATAAACAAAAGACCTGAAACCTTTTTTTCCCCTGAAGCCTTTTTATAACAATTCTTGTTTCTCAAAGTTCATAGAGTTCCCAGGGGCATGTTATTTAGGCACCTAGGCAAAGATGGTGCACACGCAAAACAGACCATTATAGCGAGAGACACACACACACTCACAAAAAAATCATTCAAGAAACTGGATTATATGAATAAAAATGTGCCATCAGGATTGGAGAAAGACTCATCTATAGTCTGCATTATGCAGATGACTTGACAAATTTGCTAGCTTCAAGTGAGGAAGACTTGAAACTCTCCCAGCAAAGGATCAAAGACTCTGATAGATTTTTCAGAGTATTTCATTTATTCTTTTATTATAGAAATAAAACTTTGGCTAACTCAAAACTAAATTTTCAAATATGTTTCCGATATTAAGGGTACATTTAGCAATTTAACAAAGCAATCCCAAAGCAAAAATCAAGTTGGAAATTTCAATTAAGTTTACTATATTCTCTTGTTATGTGTTATTGAGTCAACTACTACTCATAGCAATCATATAAAAACAGGTCTGAACCCTGCTTTATTTTGTGCCATCCTCATTAGCCTTAAATATGGGTTAACCTCAACGTCAAGAAAACAAAAATCCTCACCACTAGGCAAATAGGCAGCATCATGTTAGGTGGAAAAGAGACAAAAATTGTCCATGATTTCATCTTGCTTGGAACCACAGTCAACATCCTTAGAACGTGCAGGCAGGAAATCAGAAGATGTATTTGCCTTGGGAAAGTCTGTTATGAGGAAACTTTCCAAAAGCTGTAGAGCAATGGTGTCTTTTAAAAACGGAAATGTATCTGATCCAAACCATGACCTTTTCAATCACTTACGCATTTGAAAGTTTGACAATGAATCTGGAGCTACATATCTCTAGATCTCCTTACTGCTGGTATAACAGGTATGAATGTGGATCAAAGCAAGAAGAAATTATTGACCCTTTCAATCTTCTCTTCTTTAGCATGATATTTCCCATTGACCGAGTGTTGAGAACATTTGCTTTTTTTTGTTTGCTTTTATTGAGAGGTAATCCACATTGAATACGGCAGTTCTTAATTGAAACTTTGCAGGAAGTACTTCAAGTTCTCACTTTCAGTAAGTAAAGTCATGTAAATTGCATAGTACAGATTGTTGATGAGTCTTCTTCCAATCATGATGCCACAATCTATTATTATTATTATTATTCATTATTAATTCAATTATTATAAAGACAATCGCGTGAGATGAGCTTGTCCATCCTTCCTCCACAATAATAATAGAACCTAAAAGTATTTTCCCTTGGGACAGTTCAGATTGAGAAAGCAGCACTCAATCTAACCATTGTTGTTGTTATGTGCTGTCAAGTCACTTGTGATTCAAAGTGACTTTATGTACAACATCTCTGAACCCTACTCTATCCAGTGCCAACCTCATCATCTCTGACACACCATGTCCATTACTCAGTCACTAAGTCAATCCATCTCATCCAGGATCTTCCTCTCTTGCTCTTTCCCTCTACCCTCTCAATCACAATGTCCCTCTCCAACAACTGGTCTCTTCTTACAGAATGTCCAAAGTATGCCAGATGGAGCTTCAGAATCCTTGCCTCCTATGAGCATCCTGGTTTTACATTCTCTAAGACTAACCTATTTATTCTCCTAGGAATCTGTGGTATATTCAATACCCTTCTACCAAAATTCAAAGGTGTCAATTATTTTTCTGTCATCCCTAGTCAATGTCTACCTTTCTGATGTATAGGAAGTAATTGCAAAGATCATGGCCTGAATCAGGCACACCTTAGTCTCAAGACTGGTATATTTGCTCTTCAATACTCTGGAGATTTCCTTAACAGCAGATTTACACAATGAAATTAATATTTTTATTTTATGGCTGATGGTACCAAGAGTATTGATTGTGGAGCC